CCAGCAGGCAGTGAGACAGCAAGGAGAAGCCAAAGAACTCTGTGCAAAGTTCGGTGACTTTGCACCCTGTGCAGGGAGCTCTGAGTCTTTCTGGCCAAATCTCTCCTCCGTGCTTGCTGCAGCAACGGGTGTAGTTTTGCCCGCAGAACGGTTGCCGGGGTGAGCTGGTGCTTGTCTAGACTCGAGAGCAAAGGAAGCCTTGTGCAAAGTGCATGGCGAGATCCGTGTGGAAGCTGGCGCCGGCCCAGCTGGCGCTCCACCATGTGTGTGCGTGAGAGTCAGGCCTGGGGGTTGGGGGGAGAGGCTGTGTTTCCCCCCTTTGGGTTGCAAATTGCCTTGCATGCAGGCCTGATCAAAGCCAAAACTCCTGGCAGGCCTCTTTTAAAAAGCTTTCTTGGCCCAAGTGCATCCTGGGACTTCATCCAGCATCCTCTAGCCCAGCTCTTTCTGGCATGCGTCCTTGTTAATCTAGAGGAAAATAAAAGCCTTTTCTCTCTTTCTCTTTCAACCTCGGCGCCAAAGCTGGGGGCAAGCCTGCCGAGCCATGTTGGATGGCGAGGCGCCTTCACCGCGCGGGAGAAACCCGTAGATACGGCTTAGTGATTGCCTGGTCGCCTATGGCGAGAACGAGAATGCAGGTGACCAGGCGGGGACGGGCCCCAAAGAGGCTGGTTCTTTTACGGCCCCGTATAGCTGCCTTTCCGAACGAACAGGAAAAAGTGGGAAAGGATATAATTTTGCTTTGGAGGCCAGGTGGAAAATGCTCTTGTTTTAGCGGGTCCTACACTAGGGATATGCCACATTTCCCAGTTTCCCTTCCCTTCCTTTCCCCCCCTCCTCGCAGATAGAAAGCTAATGCAAAAGAGAGACATCCTTCTCCCTGCTAAGTTAGAGATTTACTTGCGGGGTTCTTTAAATTCTCATGGGGAAATATTTGAAATTTGTTATCTTCCACCAGCTGTTGGAAGTGATACGGTTAATTATCCTCTTGCATGCAGGAATAGGATCTCCATCCTCAGTCCCCAAACTCTCTAATTAAAAAGATCTTAGTCAATAAGCAACGGAAAAAGTTCCTCTCTGCTTTGCTACGAGACACAAGCGAAGTATGGGCTAGGTCTGTTCTAGCGTAAAGAAGCCTTCTATTTCAGTCAGGCCTTTGTCAAGGATCATGAGGACTAGAACCTTATTTCATATGGAGGGGAAAGGTTACAGTAACCGTACATTTGCAGATTTATTTCCAGTGTAAAACAGGCTTGCAAATAAATTTACAAATGCACATTTCTATGGCCATTTTCTTAAACATCACATTTAAAGGGGAAGCAGCTTTGTCAGTGAAAGAATTGGCTGGGGAATTCTGGGAATTGAAGTCCACACATCTTAAAAGTTGCTCGGGTTGAGAAAGACTGGTTTAGAATGCTAATGCTTCAGAATATTGTGTGAACCCGGGAAGCGGGTTAACTCCATAAGCAGGTTGACTGGGCTGTGGAAATGTAGGCATTTCGTAAAGCAGGCTGTTTTCATTCTGCAAGTTTAATTTATTTTCCCCTAGCAGTTATACGCCGTTGCATTTCCGCCAACACTGAGCAGATTCTACCCGGCGTGCCACACAAGTGGGTGGGCATGCACCTAATCTTTTCTAGTTACATTCAGCTCTGTGATCTTACCGCTGCAAAGACCTAATTCCATGTTTTCCCATCTTTTTCCTTCCCCTAAATGTCGGATAACTGATGGCTGGGTTGCCTCGTGCCAGGGAACCCACGGAGTGGGGTAAGTCTAGCAAGGTCGCGTCTAAGCCTGGGGGGGCGGGGGGGGGGATTTGGGGAACCCCTCCTCAAGGCAGCTCAGAGGCTGTGCAATGTAGAGGAACCTGATGGAAAATCCGTCCCGGGTTCTTCCGAGCCTCTTCTTGTCTGCTTTGAAGGAGAACCAAGTTTCAGGGGGTTGGTTCTGCAAAGCGCACATGCAAGCCTGCAACCTGGAAAAAAACAGCCTGGCCAGGTTGCTCTGCTTGCTTTTCTTCAAGTTTTGTATTGCTCTGCATTGACTTTATATCCTTCTCACTGTGATACTGGATTTGGGGGCTGCCTGACTCCAGAATGACTCTGGGGGGCTTATGCCCTGAAACAGAAAAACAATATTTCCTTTTATCTTGGGGAATGTGGGTGGCCTGGATGGGGGGAGAGGGGGGCAAAGGCTGTAGGCTGGGGAATGTAGACTACAGGTACCAGGATTCCCAGCCCATGTCACAGAGAGATAATATGTGGCTCAAGCTGACACCTCCCTAATTCACTGGAGTGTAAGGAGGGGGAGAAAGTTCAGCACAATCCGATTTGCAATATTCTGTTGTTAGAACCCAATAAAAGTATTTTTAGCCCTCCTGTGGAGTTGATTTTGAGGCTTGGTCCATCTAATGGGGCTGACAAGTGTGATCCATCTAGATCAGTGTTTCTCGACCTCCGCAAGTTTAAGCTGGGCGGACTTCAACTCCCAGAATCCCCCCAGCCAGCATGCTGGCTGGGGGAATTCTGGGAGTTGAAGTCCACCCAGCTTAAACTTGCAGAAGTTGAGAAGCGCTGATCTAGAATAAAGTGCCAACTGGGATTAGAACGGGTCTGTTAGGAGGGGCATTAAACTTCTCCAAGGATCCACTTTACAGGACCAACTGATCATATTGACTCTCCGATGTACCTAAAATGAACATAACCTTGCACTAAAGATAACTCACTCCCACCCTGCAGCAGGAAGACTAGGCAGAAAAATGAGTCTACCTGCTTTACTTAAAAGTCCTTCTCCCTTCAAATTTTTTTTTTTTATGGGGGGGGAGTTAATCTTTTAATGAAGCATAGAAACTGTCTCACTGTCCCGGTTTGGAGCACCAGAAGGGCATCTTCTCTCTCTTCCCAATACTTGTTTGCGTTCGTTCATCGGCATCGCCTTCTCGTCTTCTCCCTAACCCTGCAGAGCAATTCTGTGTCTTCTCCTGAGAGCTTGCAAGATGAGGAACGGAGAGAGGACAGCGGGGCAAAGGCCAAGCAGCACGAGAAGGACGAGGTGGGGCGTTACGTAAGCGTCTCCTTTTCATTTTGCGATCTTTCCAGGAATTTGCATGATGGAAGGTGAGGGTCTGGCCTGAGCTGCCCAAGACAGGCATCCTGGCCAGAGACTGTGTGGTGTAGTAGTTAGAGCCTAGAGTTAGAAACCAGGGTGGGTCGCCTTCCAATGTCCATCGGGCAACCAGTCTCATTGGTTGGACCCAAATTCAGTTCACTCACGTTAGGACAGTGCTTCTCAACCTTAGCCACTTTAAGACGGGTGGACTTCAACTCCCAGAATTCCCCCCCCCCCCGGGGGGGG